GGCTTTTCAAACAGTATAACAACACCCTACGAAAGTGTTGTAAAACAACACCCAAAAATGAAAACTTTTTAACTATCTGCACCTCCTCCTCGCCAAGAAAAAAAAAATCGATTTATTTGGTAATCTACCTCCCTTTCTAAACACCTACACTTAAGATTTATCAACATTGATTTTCAATTTCTAACATTTACAATTATCATCCAGCATGCTCAATCCATTTTGCAAACCTGTACTGGAGCTAGCTTATACAGTTATATCATGAGCATGCAGACGTATACATAACTAAGGTAGAGAAGGACACTAGAGGCAAAACAAATTTAGTCAATGTTTTTCTTTTTAGTTTCGCATATATTGTTCTTTGGGGTGTACCTAACAAAATATCAAAATTCGAGAATAGGTTCCCAGGCTATTTTTAAAAATATTCTTTGAAAGAGTTACCCCCATTTGAAGTCCGAAAATGTATTTGTTGCCTTTTTTAAGTCATTAAGGTACCCGCCAAAAAATGCATATAATTTTTATTTATTTATCTGAGAACAATGTAATAAATGAATATTTTGAAATATTTTAGACATATTAGTAAATAAAAAAATGGTGTTTTTTTTTCAAATTGGCTACCTTTTTTGCAATATGCCTGCAACTCGTAGGTAAAATTTCGGGATTTTATTTTTATTGTAAAGTCGAATAGAAAATAATTGTGTGAATGAATTCTTTTTTAAATTGGTATATAAAATAACTTATATCCATGCTACAAATCATAAAAAATAAAGATATCAAATCAGGGAAAACAAAAAATTAGGGGGTTAGAACGACACCCTGTCGTACACCCTTTTATGCAGATTTCATGAAAAATGACTAACTTTTTCACTTTTTGAACTATTTTAACTAAAGGTACAATTGATTCTAAAATTTGCATTGGTTTTGCAGCAGCCATGTTTTTGTAATAGTATTTTATCCTTTCAGGTAACCTTCTTTAGGTTTATTCAAGAAGTTGGCATTTGACCTCAAAGCGAAATCATCATTTCATCGGTTAATAATCCTTGATCAATATAGTCTCATCTTTCACAATAATCAGACATAAGACTTGGAAAGGGTATATATCTTATTTCAATCAACAATAATTATTAAAAACAATATTTATTTGATCTTGGTTTTTGACCTCATGTTAGAAGGATTGTCCAACCAATTTATATATCATTAAAGTGTATTGAGTGTTTGTTCATGTGATACCTGTCCGTCTCTTCCTTACATGATAATCTTTATCATTTTGTGTTTGTGACCATTATCATCAACTCTTGCTCAATCTAAAGATTTGCTTGATAATGTAATATCTACAAAATACAAGAAACTTTATTTAACGTCGCATACGGGTAAACAAAGAACATTAGCTCTTGAGAGCTATTATTGCGACAAACATATGTAAAATAACAATAACATATTATATTACAAGTAAAGGGAGATAATCACATATATTAATAAAAACCAGTAATAATCATCACAGAAAAAGAAAGTATACATATCACAGGTTTCTAAGTGATTGGGAGTCCCCTACCTACAAAGGCCCCCGGGATATATATAATATATAGTGTTAATATATGAAAAACATTAAATGTGATCACAGATAAGTAGTATTCAGAATAATAAAATAAAAGACATAGTTAATAGTGAATGAATACTTGTAAATCACACAAGAATTACTTAGGACTCAGGATTAAAACACCATGAAGTAGAATATACACACAATGCTAATATAGCAAAGAATAACAATTGACAGAATATACACCATTTTTGTGTGAATTAAAAATGATACCGAAATCAATTAACAAAATTTATCAAGTTTTGTAAAAAAAAATATTTCAGAATATATGGAATTAAAATACAAATAATATGCTGCAAAAACATAGATCAGAATTAAAATAGACTATTAGTCTAGTGGTAGGAAGCCGGGCTCGTGACCGAAGGGTTGCGGGTTCGAGTCACGGCACGGCACGACACGGCACTGTGTTGTATCTTTGAGCAAGATACTTTACTCCGCTTGTTCCAGTCTACTGAGCTGTAAATGAGCATGTACGTGGTTGGGCAGTGGTAGAATTGTTAAACGCTAGCTGTGATCGCCGAGATGGCAGCACCGACTGTATGCTACCCAGGGAGTTGAGAAAGATATTGGCTGGTTTGCAAAGGCCCTATAACCACGGATAATAATTTGTGAACCGATTTGAGACGACGTACGAACTAGGTTGTGATAAAGCGGTATATGTAAGAACCTCGAATTATTATTATTATTATTATTATTATTATTATTTTTTGATATTCAGTATCAACTGGGATCTATTGTCTCCTTCAATATCATCTACACTCTCGCCTGTTTTCGCATTCATATCACCGACAACTATGAAATCACAAATATCTGCATTTGGATTACTTATATTCAAATTTAACTTGTGTAAACGATCAAGTGTATCTGAGGCAAAATTCAATCATGGTCTAGAAAGTGTGACTTCCACATCAAATTTTCAGAAAGTGTTTTTTTGTGTTATATTAAGCATTTCATGAAGGTTATGACATCAACGTATAAAAAAAGGGTGGAGAACTTAATGATTTCTATTGTTTACCAGTATTTCATACTCAAAATTTCAAATTTCAAATTTACTGTTGCGTTGGTAACACGGTGTCCAGTAGCGTAGCTGCCTTAGGCTCGAGTAGGCCTTAGGCTCGGCTCGAGTAGGCCTTAGGCTCGAGTAGGCACGTGCCTACACAGAATTATGTCAAGTGTTTGTTTATAGTCAGTGTAAATTTAAAAAAAAATGAATATGTATGTATTTCCATTAAAATAAAAAATTACACTATTTTTGTGTATGGGTCCAGTTCAAAGTACGAAAAATCATGTATAGTGTGTGTGGTTTGTATTCAGTTAAAAAAAACTTGTAAATACACATAAGTGCAATTAAACCTTCAAGTTTATATCAAACAATGTTTATAACACGACGATGAACAAGTTTGTAGTCCGGAAAATTCGAAATATCAAAACTTCTGCGACCCAGTCAGATGATTCCTCTCGCAGTGAAACTGTCTCGTCTTCCAAAGGAAGCTAACGGCAATATAAATATGCAGTTGTGAATTGTTTTAGAGCATCAGAGGATAAAATTGGGATGATGATTGAGTTTCTTGTTGACAATATCCTTAAAAAAACTGTTCCCTTCCTCTGGCCGACATTTTTTCTTTCATACGAGGTTAAATTTATTAAAGAGTGATCAGGACAAAAACCTAGCCAAGTCCTTTAATTTTCATTCAGATATATGTTTAAATAACAATCCAAAATCATCGATCTTATATACTCCCCGAACTCGAAATAAAGGACACTATAGGCTCTTCTACTTCAGTCGCTTTCCTCGATTTTTTCTCATAAAATGATCAAAAGGAACCTCTTTCAAGTACATTGTACGATAGGCCGGATGATTTTGAACTTTCTTTTCTTGGCAGTAATATCCCTGTCATGTTCTAATAGGGAATTGTGCTATTTCTTCATATGATATGAAGGTCAATGTTTTTCTGTTATGCTCATTAGTGTGGCTTTACCCTAGTTCTAGTTAATCGACGACAGACTGATATAAAAAAAAAAAAGTCGATAAAACGTCAGAATAATTCGGACTAGTCATCAGAATGCTTGCTTACTAGTAATACATTGAGTATCTCTTACAAAAACAATGAGACTGCGGGAGTCTCGTTTTGAACCCTGTAAGTATCCTTTATGTGTAACGGGAGAAAGTTAAGTGACGCTTTTTATACAGCTGATGAAAGTTAGCAAGTTGGCAAAACTTTGCCTTGATGAAAAATTCCATCTCTAATTTCGGTTTGAAAAACCAGCAAGCTTTAGTTTCAGCTGCGAATTAGTTTCTGAATTCAGCAGACGAGGATAATAAACACTGACGCCATGGCTTTATACAAGATTTCAATTTCAACCAATCAGAAGCATAACTCTATCGACATCGCTTGTCAACACATGAAATTAATACTTTCAAGACTTACAAACACTATCTGTGGAACGTTCTCATCGCGAGATTCAGGGGCGTATCTAGGATATTTGAAAGAGGGGCGTAGAATCAAATCATTCGCCTAGCGTAGCGAGTCGAAAATAAATTTGTACCTTTTTTTTTTGCTAAAAATAATAAAATAATTGTGAAATGGACTAATGTAACGGTTCCTGAATGACTTGGAGCATGTATATTTTATAGTTAAAGTGTCAGGGTGTTTATGTGTTTAATTAATGAATATGATAAATTGCCATATTCAATACAATATTAGCAGATTACGATATTTTTTTAATTTTTTTTTGAAAAGGCCATTACGCCCTCACCTGGACCCGCCCCTGAGATTGACAGGTTTTCAGTACTTTTAGTGGTGTAATAAAATCTAGTTCCTGCAGGTAAGGCGTAAGAATTGTACCTGCTGCCCCCATTGCATGATCGTAAGAGGCGACTAAATTTGGGAATTTATCTTTTCTCTTCTTTCTAAAAAACTTTGACAATGCCTCACTTTTGACCTTAAGTTGAGCGTTCGCCCCTGTGAGGAAGGCTTTGGGTTATGTCCCCTGGACGAGACATACCATGATGCTTTACAGCATCAACTGGTCTTATAATATAAGTGATAAGTGTTTTTAAACATTTTAGTTCTTATATGACTGACATGGCTCAATCTCTGTTCTGTAAAAATACCCCAATTCCCGTTAAATCGGAGTACCTCAAGGCTCGATTTTATTGTCTCTCGTCTTCATCGTTTTTATGAATGACTATATCATGGGCATGTTTATAGCTGTGATGTTACTATGTATGCTCACGTCTCAGTCAGCGGTGGGCAATTCTGTTCATCAAGTCGAGCAATACCGGCGATGCGTTAAAAAAACTCACGAGGAGAGGAATAGTATAATCTTTGCTGGTTTTCAAATCCTCTTTATTGTATATTTTGAAGTTTGTTTCACGTGCAAAAAATGGAAATAAAATGATAATAGTTAAACTAAAAAAACATTTTGTTATGGAAATGTATCTAAAAGAGAAATGGTCAAGAAACCGGAAGCGACAAGTTAAAGTTAACAACGTAACTGTACAGTAGGCAAGCTTCTTGGTGTTCTTATTAATGGAAACTTGTGGAATATGCATCAAATAAACCTGACATCGAGAGACCTTGGAGGAGATTGAAAAATTCAAGTTCCCTGGGATGACACAGGAAACGACCAAATGCATCCCTACATTCCAATGGGTTTGGCAGTATTTTTTTGGTAAGCTGCACAGGTGAGAGGTATCGATTAAGATTCAGGTTTTAAGATCAAAGCATACATATAGCATAGGGTTTTTCTGCACGTTTTGTCTTGTTGAAATGATGACGTAAGAGTTGATAAAAGTTTAACTTTGAACCCGATGTGTTCCGTACAGAGTCTAGAACCTAACTCCTTTACAATACAACATATCACAGTTAAATACATGTACGTACCTGAGGTTTAAGTGACAGGTGTTGCTAACTGTTAGATCAATTACCCGTGGTCAGTGTCCACAAGGCAAAGACTATTACACTCCCGGAATCCTGTTGCGTAATGTGTGGGCAATAGTAATGAGTTATGAAAGTAAGTTTACAGAGAGTAACTTGTTAAGTACTTAAAGATATAAAATCTTCACACATGAGTCAGTCTTATCTGAAATGTCACAAAGGATATATAGTAATTACAAAAAGGATAATGCAACATGTATATAGCCAAATTCTGTCTAAATGTCAATTAAACGTGTTTTGCATTAAGTGGCATTTGAGTTGTTAGATATGAACAATTCGAAATATAAATTTAATAATAGATGGTAAGATTATGAATAAGCAATTATTTACACAATTAATTTCAGCACTAATTTCTGTGTGATGCATACATTTTTTTTAACAATATTTGCTTTCGCTGTAATATTTTTGTTTCATTATTTTTTAAAAGGTACTTTGATCTTTTGTAATCCGGAAAATATGTCCGTCTTTTTACAGTTAGTTTTAATTGCCAGTTTCGTGTGCCGTTGGGGAGAGGTGCGCGCCAAACCCGTCTAATATATTGTTCAAATCATTTGCTCAATAAACTATCGTGTTATTCAAGATATTGGTTTATGAGTCATTTTACTCACATAGATTGTAACAAACAACCAAATAACCATATTCATGTCACAACATTGAGGGTTATTAAAGGGGAGTAACCTCGATTGACTTACGGGCTGCTGAATACCAGCTGATCTCGAGCGATTTAGGTAGGCCTGGTGGGGGCGAGAATTATTAGCCCGATACAAACAGTCGGTACGGAAGTCATCCCCATGTCGGAGGCATGGAGATCTACAGAGCCGTGTCGGATTTTGCTTCACCCTCTGTTGAGGGTTCCGAGAATATTCTCTCGTTTGACAAAGGGGACAGGTTTGAAATATTTGACTGTCACAAGACGGGGACAGAATGGTGGGGCGCTCGTGCTCTGAGCAGCGATACTGTTGGATATGTACCGTCCAGATACATGGAGGTTAGTACTAAGTACTGATACCTTGGGGGGTAGCAGTGTAGGATAATTAATGAAATAGTAGGAGGTGCGCTAATCATACAGTGTATTTCAGTTTAATTATATATTAATTATATGTGTGTTACATGCATGTGATCTGTGTTATTGAACCCTGGTTACATCTAGGCCTATGCATGTATTTAACTTAGCTTGAGGTACTTATAAAATACACTTGTTTTGTTACAGTACATTTGTGCATTGGAGAGAAAATAACCAACAATGTTAAGTCTTTTAAATGGCCAGTTACTTGTAGTTCTAACATGACATCATCTTTAAACAACACCATACCATTCCTAGTTAAATTGGTGTACATCTTATATAATAGCACTTAATGTGATACAGCTACAGACTACAATTAAGGAAAAGAAATAATTTACTTAATTGTTTAATTTTTGTTAATGCTTGAATTCACAAAATTAATGACTCCATGCAATCATATATATTTTAAAATTGATTTGCATAGGATACCTTACATTTTCTAAACATAATACAGGAAATTCACAAAAAATTAATTAAGGAATGATTTTTATTTTTTCAACATTTATGAGGTCATAACAACAATGGGTTTATGGACATATTGAATGAATCGCGTTAGCGATTCATGTAAAATATGTCCAAAAACCCATTGTTGTTATGACCTCATAAATGTTGAAAAAATAAATATCATTCCTTATATTTACATTGACGAATCCTTTCAGTGGATCGATATAACAACGAATAAAACAAATAAACAGGGTTTGTTCCTGCTTATACACGGGTGCAACGCAGTGGCGAGAACAGTGTTTTTTCGCGGGGAAATGTGACACTATCGTGAGAGATCTTAGCAACCGTCAACAACAATAACACAACAAAATGTAGTTCCATATTCAATGTTTATTTGTAGCACAGGACACGTGAATACGTGGATATTTCACAAAGCACAGTTCAATAATATTTTAAGATGTAAGAATTAAGCATCTAGGTCGGTCGTTCCGAGTGAGTAGTTTTTGTAGTGTATTACTACGCAGTGTGATCAGGTTACTATCAGTTCCCACGTGCTGAGATTCTATGAACACCTGTGTTATGCATTTATGAATGTAATTTTTGTCAATGGGTCTAAGCATACAGAATGTAAATATTAGCTGATGATTGTAGAATAAATTGACAACCTGATCACATGATACAGATAGTCACATGATGTCAGTAAGCGGATGATTATGACATTATACATAAATCAACCCAAAAATTGACTATCTCCATGTTCAAGTGATTTTAATTTAATTAAAATGTTCTTGTAAAAGAGCTAACTTTCCTCTAGTATGAGAGTAAAATAGCGCGAACTTCAGTTTTTTGCTGCTTTTAACTTGCACGCTGTTCAGAGACACATTTCAGCCCGCCGTGTTTACATTCGCCACAAACACGAAGATGGCATCAGTAAATTTGTACTGTGCAGAGCAATGCGATGTGAAGTGCAAAACATCAAAGGACCAAAACTGGACCCAATCTGAAAGTAGAACAACATTTTCAGTAGAATACGTCAAATAAAAGTTATAGACTACAATTAATAATTTTATTTTAAACGTAAAATTTGCTTATTTAAACCAAATACTTACGAAATAGTGCTTCTCAATAGTAAAACTATAGTTATATTGATAGTATCACAGTATTCCAAATTGGCTGTAACAATTTTCCCTACTGAACAAACACTTGTTAATTATTCTCAAGATAAATGACAAATGCTTATAATTAATGCATGTGGCATTCTGGTCTGATTTTTTTGGCGATTTTTCAAGCCATTACGTTAAGGTGTGTATTGTGGGTTATTGTTGACGTGGTTAGAATGGCTTGATCCTTACACTAGAAGTTTTATTTAAGTGTCATTGGCTGCCCCCCTGATAATGTGATGATACTGGTGGTTTGTCAGCTCCCTAGGAATCTTTACGTTAAGGGTTCCAGGGTCACGAGGATCTGGCAAACATTTGTTCCGATCAAAGATAAACAATGACAGTAAAGGTAAATAATGGTAGACCCAAGTTTACCAGTCGACATCCTGTACAACAGATGAAGTAGGAATGCTGGCTACCTCATCTACTAAATAATTCACTTTACACTGATCAGGAGGCTGGAGATGGCTCGCCATGGCATGCTACCCTAACTTAATTACTTGGTATCCAAAAACTCCCTTAAAATTCCAATTATGAATAATTTTGAAGTACTTTAACATGTAATAGGTTATTATCATAATTTTTTTCATGAAATGTGTGATTATATCTTCTCCAATCTCTAGGATTCTTATAGATATTATAGATTAGGTGAGGTACCAATATCTGGGACTGTTAGATATTATAGATGAGGTGAGGTACCAATATGTAGGACTGTTTGATAGTAAAGATGAGGTGAGGTACCAATATCTGGGACTGTTAGATATCATAGATGAGGTGAGGTACCAATATCTGGGACTGTTAGATAGTAAAGACGAGGTGAGGCACCAATATCTGGGTTTGTTAGATATTATAGATGAGGTGAGGTACCAATATCTGGGTTTGTTAGATATTAAAGATGAGGTGAGGTACCAATATCTGGGACTGTTAGATATTATATATGAGGTGAGATACCAATATCTGGGACTGTTAGATTTTATAGATGAGGTGAGGCACCAATATCTGGGTTTGTTAGATATTATAGATGAGGGGAGGTACCAATATCTGGGACTGTTAGATATTAAAGATGAGGTGAGGTACCATATCTGGGTTTGTTAGATATTATAGATGAGGTGAGGTACCAATATCTGGGTTTGTTAGATATTAAAGATAAGGTGAGGTACCAATGTCTGGGACTGTTAGATATTAAAGATAAGGTGAGGTACCAATATCTTGGACTATTAGATATTAAAGATGAGGTGAGGTACCAATGTCTGGGACTGTTAGATATTAAGATGAGGTGAGGTACCAATATCTGGGACTGTTAGATATTAAAGATGAGGTGAGGTACCAATATCTGGGACTGTTAGATATTAAAGATGAGGTGAGGTACCAATATCTGGGACTGTTAGATATTAAAGATGAGGTGAGGTACCAATATCTGGGACTGTTAGATATTAAAGATGAGGTGAGGTACCAATATCTGGGACTGTTAGATATTAAAGATGAGGTGAGGTACCAATATCTGGGACTGTTAGATATTAAAGATGAGGTGAGGTACCAATATCTGGGACTGTTAGATATTTAGATTAGGTGAGGTACCAATATCTGGGACTGTTAGATATTAAAGATAAGGTGAGGTACCAATATCTGGGACCGTTAGATATTTAACTGAGCTATTGGCCCCGTTAGATATTTAACTGAGCTATTGGCCCCTACCCAAGGGCTACTAGATAGGTTAACATCTTAAACCGTACTAGTTAATTCTTATTTAGTTATCTTTAAGTATCAGAGGAGTTAAGATGTTTGAAATTAAATTAAAGAAAAAGAAATATTGCCAGAATAGATATGTCATTTGTGTAAAACTAAAATGTTTGTGGTAGCGGATGCTGATCTGTCCTTGATGAACTATAGTTTGACTTGTTTTAAAAGTAAACATGTAAAGGATATGGACAGGGGAATTGTGATGGAATGCTTTTGAAGTTCTTACGTTTAAGTGTTGGTGAGGTCTATATGATAGGGTGGTGAACGGTCAAGTGGCTTGTTATGTAAGGCCTGAATTTGTAGTTCTGGTAACTGTACATATCTACATAATATAGAATTACAAATCTAGGGGTAAAGTTTAAGCATGCATTAAAGTGAGTTGTTTCTAAAATTATTCTGAAGGCTAAATAAAACAAAATATAAACAACATACGCAACCTAAACATTCTGAGTTGAAAAATAGAGGACTATTCAAACAATAGTTTGGTTTAAGCGTTATACAGGTAAGTTGTAGGTACAAGTGTATACCTGAATACAGGCTTGCAGGTGCCTGGTAATTAACATATCAAGTTTTTACCGATAAGGTGGAAAGTAAACAAATACATACTAAATGGTTTGATAGGGCCATTTACACAAAATCAACATCACAGTTGTAGAAAGAAACATCACTGATAACAAGATCATGTTCCTACATCGTAACCTGGTCTTAATTTTAATTTGTGGTGAGCTTCTTGACATAACCAAGTGTGTATTGCCCAAACCTTGTAAGCCTTCTCTCAATCAAGTTTCCAAGTGTCTTCTATTTTTTAAATTTAAAACTGTTCAAGACTTTTTTAGGGTTTCTTTGTTAAATTCATACACAATACATTTCAAGTATGACTTTAACTCATTCACCCCTGAAATTTCATAATGGACCATTCCAACCTTTGAATTGGAAGAGTTCAAATGTGAATTTAGGGGTGAATGGGTTAGAGACTTGAAAATTTCAGAGATTAAAAGGTGTTGATGAATTATGATTAACCTAACTAGACTTGAAATGCCTAGGTCCTTATCATAGTCTGATATATGAAGCAGCTCAGCTTGATGATATATATATAGCTCTTATCATACACAGATAAATAACTTGCTGATAAGATACATGTAATTACTGTCTTCTGCAAAAAGTAGGAATTGTCAAATTTCAATAAATTTCATTGCTCAGCTTCTCAATTCAAGTTGGATGGACAACCTGTACTTAATGGATTTATTATTAAGTAAGGATTTAATGCTACTTTGAACATTTTAACTCATTCACCCCTGAAGACACATTTGAACTCTTCCAAACCAAAGGTTGGAATATTTCATTATGAAATTTCAGGGGTGAATGAGTTAAATTCCAGTCCTGAGATGTACATGTATACTGACCTCATGTGTTTATCAGTTCTATCCACTCATTGTGGTCACAGTTCAAAGATAATTATCATTATATTCCCTAAATGATGGTGTCAAAGGAATTGGTGAGCTGTAATGTAGGATTAATGAAAGAGGACTGGTCTCCTTAAATCAATCCCATTCCAGATTCAAAGTGTGTCAGATTATTGAAGCTAATATTATCATAGTCAGGATTATTATAGTCCAGATTATCTTTGATAGTCATCGACCATAGGCCAGATTATTAAAGCCCTTGTCCAGATTATCTTAGTCCAGATTATTATTGCCAGATAATCTTTATCGATTATCTTAGTCTAGATTATCACATTCCAGATTTTCTTATATCATCTAAATTGATTATCTTAGTTGATTATATTAATCAAATCTGATTATCATAATCCAGATTTTATCATAATTCAAATTATCTTAGATCATCTTAATCGATGATCTTAGTTGGTTATATTGTTTCATATGATCACAGCCAGATTATCTTAGTCAGTTATCTTAGTCCAGATTATCTTATTAGATTGTTTTAGTCCATAATCTTAACCCATATTATCATAGTTGATTATCTTAGTCCAAATTATCATATACAGATTATCATAGTCCAGGTTATCTCAGATTATCATAGTCCAGGTTGTCTTAGATTATCATAGTCCAGGTTGTCTTAGATTATCATAGTCCAGGTTATCTTAGATTATCATTGTCCAGGTTATCTTAGATTATCATCGTCCAGGTTATCTTAGATTATCATCGTCCAGGTTATCTCAGATTATCATAATCCAGGTTATCTTAGATTATCATAGTCCAGGTTATCTTAGATTATCATAGTCCAGGTTATCTTAGATTATCATCGTCCAGGTTATCTTAGATTATCATAGTCCAGGTTATCTCAGATTATCATAATCCAGATATTATCATAATCCTGGTTATCTTAGATTATCATAGTCCAGGTTAAGAAGGGTTAACTGCATAAGTATCTAAGGCAACTATTACAAAAGTGATTTATTATTTACTGGTCTATTATGTTTCAGTATGAGGAGAGGAAGATTGGACGATTATTACCTGAGAATTATGAGGTAAGTTCAATATTATCGTTACTTTTAATAACAACAAATAATACCAATGCCGTCAGTGGTTGTCTGTACTGTATTGTTTACAAATTAACAACATGTTCCTTATATATACAGTTGAACTTGTTTAGAGATATCACCCATTCTGTTAATTTAGTCATGAGCATGAACCTGTTTTTGAGAAACCACCCATTCTGTCAATACAGTGTGAACTAATTTTGAAGAAACCACCCATTCTGTCAATACAGTGTGAACTGATTTTGAAGAAACCACCCATTCTGTCAATGCAGTAGTGTGAACTAATTTTGAAGAAACCACCCTTTCTGTCAATGCAGTAGTGTGAACTAATTTTGAAGAAACCACTGATTCTGTCAATACAGTGTGAACTAATTTTGAGAAACCACTGATTCTGTCAATACAGTGTGAACTAATTTTGAAGAAACCACTGATTCTGTCAGTACAGTGTGAACTAATTTTGAGAAACCACTCATTCTGTCAATACAGTGTGATCAAGTTTTAAAAAACACTGATTCTGTCAATACAGTGTGATCGAGTTTTAAAAAACACTCATTCTGTCAATACAGTGTGAACCAGTTTTAAAAACCAACCATTCTGTCAATACAGTGTGAACCAGTTTTGAAGAAACCACCCATTCTGTCAAAACAGTGTGAACTAGTTTTGAAGAAACCACCCATTCTGTCAATACAGTGTGAACTAGTTTTGAAGACACCACCCATTCTGTCAATACATTGTGAACCAGTTTTGAAGAAACCACCCATTCTGTCAATACAGTGTGAACTAATTTTGAGAAACCACTCGTTCTGTCAATACAGTGTGAACTAATTTTGAGAACCCCCTCATTCTGTCAATACAGTGTGAACTGATTTTGACCACTCATTCTGTCAATACAGTGTGAACTGATTTTGACCACTCATTCTGTCAATACAGTGTGAACTGATTTTGAGAAACCACTCATTCTATCAATACAGTGTGAACTAATTTTGAGAAACCACTCATTCTGACAATACAGTGTGAACTAATTTTGAGAAACCACTCGTTCTGTCAATACAGTGTGAACTAATTTTGAGAAACCACTGATTCTGTCAATACAGTGTGAACTAATTTTGAGAACCCCCTCATTCTGTCAATACAGTGTGAACTGATTTTGAGAAACCACTCATTCTATCAATACAGTGTGAACTAATTTTGAGAAACCACTCATTCTGACAATACAGTGTGAACTAATTTTGAGAAACCACTCGTTCTGTCAATACAGTGTGAACTAATTTTGAGAACCCCCTCATTCTGTCAATACAGTGTGAACTGATTTTGAGAAACGACTCATTCTGTCAATACAGTGTGAACTAATTTTGAGAAACCACTCGTTCTGTCAATACAGTGTGAACTAATTTTGAGAAACCACTCGTTCTGTCAATACAGTGTGAACTAATTTTGAGAAACCACTCATTCTGACAATACAGTGTGAACTAATTTTGAGAAACCACTCATTCTGACAATACAGTGTGAACTAATTTTGAGAAACCACTCATTCTGACAATACAGTGTGAACTAATTTTGAGAAACCACTCGTTCTGTCAATACAGTGTGAACTAATTTTGAGAACCCCCTCATTCTGTCAATACAGTGTGAACTGATTTTGAGGAACCACTCATTCTGTCAATACAGTGTGAACTTTTTGAAGACACCACCCATTCTGTCAATACATTGTGAACCAGTTTTGAAGAAACCCCCCATTCTGTCAATACAGTGTGAACTAGTTTTGAAGACACCACACATTCTGTCAATACATTGTGAACCAGTTTTGAAGAAACCCCCCATTCTGTCAATACAGTGTGAACTAGTTTTGAAGACACCACACATTCTGTCAATACATTGTGAACCAGTTTTGAAGAAACCCCCCATTCTGTCAATACAGTGTGAACTAATTTTGAGAAACCACTCATTCTGACAATACAGTGTGAACTAATTTTGAGAAACCACTCACTCTGTCAATACAGTGTGAACTGATTTTGACCACTCATTCTGTCAATACAGTGTGAACTGATTTTGAGAAACGACTCATTCTGTCAATACAGTGTGAACTAATTATGAGAAACCACTCATTCTGTCAATACAGTGTGAACTGATTTTGAGAAACCACTCATTCTATCAATACAGTGTGAACTAATTTTGAGAAACCACTCACTCTGTCAATACAGTGTGAACTGATTTTGAGAAACCACTCATTCTATCAATACAGTGTGAACTAATTTTGAGAAACCACTCGTTCTGTCAATACAGTGTGAACTAATTTTGAGAAACCACTCATTCTGACAATACAGTGTGAACTAATTTTGAGAAACCACTGATTCTGTCAATACAGTGTGAACTAATTTTGAAGAAACCACCCATTCTGTCAATACAATGTGAATGAGTATTCTAGGAATCAGATTTGTCTATCTGTGAAGCAGAACTTTGTACAGTACAGTCTGTTTTGTGAGGCTTCAAACCCTTATATAATCTGTGTTGAGAGGTGCTTTAATTGGGCATCATGGTATGGGTTAGTGTTGGAGGTTGTACATGTCTAGTGGATAAGTCCCCAACCTGTGCCCTTCCTCACTGTAGCACAGGAAGACCCTGAAATCCCCACTTTGAAGAAGTGATCCATAAAACAACACAGCCATATGTGTCTGTACTGGGTACTTTTTATGAGAGTGCATCAGGCAGGAAACTCTTAGCGGACATGTGTTCTAGGCAGGTATCTGGATAGTAAACAGGAGCTTACCCTATTACAGAAACACATGGCTGCTGGCACCATGTGCTGAAATATTAATTGTGTCCGGTGGTGAAAATCAGATTCCCAAAGATGAAGTAAAATTCTTAAAAGGGGAAACAAAACTTGCTTAAATAAGATAATGGGGCATTAGTAGTGATTTGATTTAGTTGTCAGGGAACAAAATCTCTGAAATGATCCGAACCTCTTACTAGCCTTTTAGTAAAATGGCTAAACACCAATGTTCAGCAGTGTTATTAAAACTGATATTGCCTGTTAAATATGATAAACAAGCTTACTTACATCAAACATTCCCTTGTAAAACAGGAAGTCCATCACCACCATCCATAAACAAGCTTACCTACATCAAACATTCCCTGTAGAACAGGAAGTCCATCACCACCACCCATAAACAAGCTTACCTACATCAAATATTCCCTGTAGAATAGGAAGTCCATCCCCACCATCCATAATCAAGCTTACTTGCATCAATCATTCTCTGTAGAACAGGAAGTCCATCCCCACCATCCATAAACAAGCTTCCCTACATCAAACATTCCCTGTAGAAGAGGAAGTCCATCACCACCATCCATAAAGAAGCTTACTTGCATCAATCATTCTCTGTAGAACAGGAAGTCCATCACCACCATCCATAAATAAGCTTACCTACATCAAATATTCCCTGTAGAATAGGAAGTCCATCACCACCATCCATAAACAAGCTTCCCTACATCAAACATTCCCTGTACAACAGGAAGTCCATCACCACCATCCGTAAATAAGCTTACCTACATAAAATATTCCCTGTAGAAGAGGAAGTCCATCACCACGATCCATAAACAAGCTTACCTCCATCAAACATTGCCTGTAGAACAGGATGTCTATCACCACCATCCATAAACAAGCTTACCTACATCAAACATTCCCTGTAAAATAGGAAGTCCAGAAACTAAAATGTCGGCGCTTCCTTGGAAACGATAGCCGGAAGAGATAGGCACTAGGGAATATATCTCAAAACCAGAAAAAACCTTTAAATTTTGTTTTCATCTCAAGTGAAGACTTTTTAACTTGCACTATCAGCTTTAATACATATTGCACGACATACAAAAAAGTTTATTTTACCAACTCCGACAAACTTGAAGAAAGGGGGATAGGCTTAATTATTACCGGGCACCCACCCTATGAATGGAAAGTAAGGAAAAGTGGAGGGTGGGCTACTTACCAGGCCCGGGCTTATCACTGGTAAAATATGGTATGTATCGGAGTTTGTATATGTGTTCTGCTTGTTATGGGTTGTATTTCCAATGGTGATCATGAAATACCATATGTAAAGGTGATGCTAAGAAACTCATTGACTGGAATATCTTAACAAAAAAAATATCTGATCAAAAGATATTGTGATTGACACTTACTCCCTCTTTCATTTGCTCTAATTGTAGTGTCAAGGTTAAGAGTAGGTTATAACTTTTTAAAGGCCTCATACTGTTTTGTTGATCATCATACGGAATTCTGCCTTGATGAAAAAGAAAATCAACCTGGAAACAGCTAGAAGTGGCCGAATAGTCAAATGTTTCATTCCCTTTTTACAAAAGTTCAAATTTGGTGGCCAGAGGCAATATTTGTATTACAAGCTGTTTCACCCAGGGAATAACAAGATACACTTTTGTTGCATATGTTCAACATCAGACATTCACACAATCTCACACAAACCCATGTTATGTGTTGATGCCCCAGTCCATCTTCATCAGACCAGCTGGAAAGAAAAAACCCTTTATCCAATTGATATGTCATCTGGTTTTCAGATGAAAAGATGTTGTGATTGACATGTATTTGCAGTAGAAGCATGTGTATACAGGAGGTTCTATGTGGAGGTGTCGCATCCTTTCTGTGACAACTCTCATATCCTGCCCTTGTCCTTGTGGCCAGAAAAGTGTGTTGTGGGTCTGTACGCATGTTCTGTGTACTACTAATGTCAATCAGCCTGTCAGAGATTGATTTCAATTCAACAGGAGTAATATCAATTTAACGTTCACCCAAGGTAAGCTCTGGTTGATAGCATGGTTTGATGTAGGCTTTTTGCCAGCTGTCATACAGTTATTGATTATATAAGCTTTTTCCTGTCTTTGTAAATTAGAAATTTCATGTCAACAGATATAAAATTTGATTATCAATGTTTTGTCAGCAGTGTTAACATATAATTTGATTATCAATGTTTTGTCAGCAGTGTTGAGTA